TTAGCCACGCTCACGCTCGCCGGGTGTTTTATAAGGGTCCGTGTTTGGTTAGGCCGACCTTTTTTAGCCTTTCGGGACCGTATAGTTTTAGTTTGTCCGACGTAAAATTGTGCGAATTACGTTCGGAAAGTTCTTTTGTGTGTGGGCTGTTTTTCGAACTATTTTAATGTGTTTTATCGTTTCTGTGCCCGTGTTGTTTTAGGGCTTACAGTTTGGTGATACTTATATTATATTAAGTCTGTTATATATTATTATACCAGCTGTTAATTGTCCACTGCTGAACATAGGCCTTATTGGCATGTTTTTCCAGGAGTTGCCACGCTTCGGAGGCGGGTTGCGAACAGAAGTTACGTTAGGTTAATTAATTAATTCACCACTTAATAAATGAATGAATGAATTTAATTTGTTAATTATTTCTGTACTTGATAGTAATTTTATTTCAAATATTTAATCAGTAGTTTTTATATATACGTAGACTGTTCTTCACATATTTATATTTTCGGTACTAATTTATAAAAATCTGGTATAAATCCCACTAGTATAAAAAAATTCCACCTATAAATTGGCCTGTCCGTATCGAAAAAAATTTAAGAATTTGTCCCATAAAAATAAAAGATTGCCTTCAACCGTAGCAAAATCTGTTATTTTGATTTTTATATTAAATAATTAAACCTATCTAGATAAATGTCTGTGCGTCCAATCTGAAAGTATAGCCTTTCACATAAAAAAGGAATTTTCAAATCGGTATATACCTAAATGACGGAATGGAGGTTAAATAAAACTATTCACTAATTTAGAATTAGGTTTTTCTTTTAATTCCCTTTAATTACAAAATAACAAAAACAACAAGTCTCGATTCTAACGCCATCTAGTATTTCGAGTAATTTTGTTTAGAGAGCAACCACCTTAATAATGTATATTTGAAAGAAAGAAAGAAAGAAAGAAAGAAAAAACTTTATTTTACAAGAAATATGCGACGGCACCCACACAGGGGTTAAAAAAAAATCCATATATTAAGAATTATAATAAAGAAACAACACAAAAAAATATTTATAAAAAAATATATATATATATAAAATTAAAAAAGAAAAATAAAACGATTCGTATTATAACAATTTCATCAAAAATGAGTGTGTGTGTGCGTGCGTCGCAATACCTGCAAAATGAGGTGCGTGCTCAGCATTATGCTGTAGTGTCAGGGACACTACAGCGCTGATTTTCAGCACGAGCCTCGCCAACCCGCGGGGTCCTAATAATAACAATAATGTTTGAAAACTTGACCAACACAGTGGTGTGCTTAAAGTGTATTGTGTAAAAAATAAAAATGAAATAAATATAATAAATTTGTAGTGGGTATATATTGAATGATAAATTGTGACGTTGTCAATGTTGAATAATAATAATCACACGAAAAACATAAAATACGTATAGAATAAGTATTTTCCTTTTACGTAGTAATACTACAGACGCTAAAGAAACTAAATATCGAATATAGTTGAATCATCCCCACATTCAATCGAGGACCACAAAAACTAGGTAAGTACTTACCTCCTTGAGTTGCAATATGCTCCTCTTGCAATATGCAATATGTCAATAATGTAATCAATAGCAACCAGTAATTAGATAATAATAAAAAATATATTATTGATTGTGTATTATATTAAAGTGAAATAACTGTTCATATATGTATCATAGAACTCCTAGCTGCACCTAATAGGATACTCATTAGAAAGTCTCTGGTAAGGAAGATCCCGGACAGAGACCAGCAATTTAATTGGCTTTTTGTTGGTGTAGATAATATTTTTTTAGATTACTCTTAAACGTATGTACATTTTTCAGGTTTCGAATTGGTGGAGGAAGATCATTCCAACAGCGAGTGGCAGCGTATTTGAAACTGCCCCTGAAAGCAGCCGTCCTATATCTTGGAATGCAGAGTACATTCACAATTGGACGAACAGCATACTTGTGATAGTTTTGCCTCCACGACAGTTTTTCGTGCAAGTAGCGTGGTTGGCCAGTAGCAATTACTCCGAAGAGTAAAGTAGCAAAATGAAGCTTTCTCCTGGCGGACATTTTGATCATATTATTTTCGTTCAAGAAAGGTGTGATGTGACTCCTACATGGTATATTAAAACAAAATCTCGCACAAGCATTTTGGACGCGTTGAATTAAGCGTTCCGTTCTTTTTAAGAGACAAGGACCGTATACAACGTCCCCATAATTTAATTTCGATAGAATGAGCGAGTCAACTAGTCTTTTTCGTAATTCTATTGACAAATATTCGCGTAATTTATATAAAACTTTTAGTCTATAAAAACACTGTCGTACAACATCATTAACATGATTTTCAAAGCGTAGCTCTGGGTCTATAATGAGTCCCAAATTTCGTGCCGAGTCCACCTGATGAATCGTTTCATTCATTATTTTTACAATCGGTTTCGTCAATGCGATTTTACTAATTTGCTTTTTGTTTCCTAGAATCATAAATTTGGATTTTATCGGATTTAGTGCTAATGTATTATTTTCCGCCCATGTAGTAATTCTTTTAAGATCTTCATTAAGTTTCTGTATAGCTTCTGTCGTATCTTTGGGTTCACAAGATATAAACAGCTGCAAATCATCAGCATATATGTGATATTTGCAGTGATGAATACAACTGATGATATCGGTGATATATATAATAAACAATAAAGGTCCTAAAATCGATCCTTGTGGAACACCTCTAGATACCGAAAGAGGGTGAGACGAAAGAAACGACCCATCTTCCTTTCTAATTTCTACGATTTGACTTCGGTTTGAAAAATAGCTATTAAACCACTGAATTGTTTTTATATCAAAACCATAATAAGATAATTTAGATATAAGCAGTTGTACGTTAATTGAATCAAATGCCCGAGAACAATCCAAAAGAGCCAACAAAGTTCCTTTACCATCATCTCTTGCTTCTAAAATATTGCCTACCACGTCTGATAAAGCTGTAGAGGTGCTACGGTTTTCCTAAAACCAGATTGCAAGTCAGGTAATATGCTATTTGCCTCTAAATACTCCATCACTTGTAAGTATACTACTCTTTCCAAAATTTTAGATAAAGATGGTAGTATACTTATGGGTCTAAGGTCTTTAATTTCAGTAGGATTATTGGTTTTAGGAATCGGACGCACAATAGCCATCTGCCATATCTCTGGAAAGGTACTACTTAGTATTGATTCATTGATTATTGTCGTGATTGCGTCTAAAGAATATGGTAGCGTGAGGTGTAACATGTCACGGCTAATGCTATCATTTCCTGCGCATTTGATTTTAATTCAGTGATAATTTTTAGAACAATATCCCGACTAACAGGCTTAAGACTAAAAGTATTTGAGCTAAATCTATTAAATTCATAGTAAGTTAACTGAGACATGGTAACACTATGCGTACCAGGAACGTCGAGAAAAGTTTTATTCATTTCATCAGGGTTGTTAAATGTTGATGGAATTTCAAAGTTCTTAGCATCTGGTAAGATATCTGATTTAAGATTTTGCCATAATTTTTTTGGATTATTTATGTTATTATTGATATGCTGATCATAATATGCCTTTTTTTCGCAAGATAATGCAATAGTGGTGTGACGTTTAAGTTCCTTATAATAAGTTTTGTCACATTCTAGTTTAGAGTTGCGATATTTATTATGGGCTTCATTCCGTAATTTCATTACATATTTTACGTTATCAGTAAGCCAAGGCGTAGACCGAGTCGTAATTTTTTTACTTCTAATTGGAGCATGGAGGTCATAAAGTTGTAAGATTAAATTATTTAAACTCAATACCATATCATTTACTCCACGGCATTCGTGTATGGAATTCCATGGTATTGATCTCAAATCTTCTTCGAACAGATGCGGTAATATATCCTTTAAAGGACGGTATTTTAAAATTTTAGGTCGCGGTTTATCTTTTTTTACTAATATTTCGCAGGAGATGAATGAATGGTGGCCAAGGTCAGGGACATGATCCACCGAAATATTTCTAGTTTGTGCGTCTGTACATACAACGTCTATAAGTGTTTGACTATTATTTAGAATATGAGTAGGTACAGTAATAATTTGCATCAAGCCACAACATTTTAAAAAAATCATGTATTTTTTTAGTTTTGCTATCATTAACTTCAATCATATTAATATTGAAATCACCAAGCAGAACGACATTATCACAATGAGCAAAGGAACAGATACTGTCCATGATAGCATCTAAAAATATTTCAGAATCGAGCCATGGTGGGCGATACGCGGTACCGATAAACAATTTTTTATTGTTTAAGCTTAGAGTCAACCACAATTGTTCAACAGTTGGATGACTTGGATGCGCTTGCACTCGTGCATTTATATCTGTTTTAATATAGAAGGCGACACCTCCGCCACGCCCCCCGCGCACATCGTTCGACCGTGGCTGGTGCCGCAGTCGGTATCCAGGCACAATTGGTGCGCGTCCTTCCTCCCCTGGTCTTAGCCAAGTCTCATTGACAGCCATAATGTCAACTGCGTGGTGATTCATCGCCAGAAGAAATTCATCATGTCTCGTCCCCAGTGAACCGGCATTAATGAATCCAATTCTTAAAAATTTATTTCGGCCCATCATACCGCGTAATAGATTTTCTTTCCTGTACTAATCAGGGGACGAGATGTGAATTTATTGTACATAATATCAATACATATAATATAATAACATAATAAATATATTAACAAATACAAAATTGCGGTTGTTATTCTACATTTATTACCAGAAAACACACACCTATCAATATATACAATGTATAAATGTAATAAATATATTATGGTGAGACTAATTTTGTACCATAAACTTTCGAGAGGGTAGCGAAACACACACACACACAAACCAAGACCAGTTGTTAAAATAAAGATAATCGTAAACAAACACACTTTACAAAAAACAAATTTAAAATGGTTAATAAGTTGACAGTAAATTATGAGAAATAACAGTATAAAAATATTGCTACGTTTATTATTTTGATCCGAAAACAGTGACGAGATCTGATTCGCTTCGTAATAGGTGAAAGGAGCTAGTGGTGTCCTTCCTGGTGTATATACGACCCCGCCTCGTCCACACAAATCTCCACCCGAGACGACGACCCGCTTCGCGCGCTTTTTGAAATAGTGCCCTATTGTACTTGGTAAGGCGCTCGTTTATATAGAATGGACGTGGAGTAGCACTTACACCTAGGTCAGCTGTATCGGCACCTCGCCTGACACGAGCACCTCGAAGCAAATCATCACGCAAGTCTCGCCGGGCGAGTCGTACTGCTATCGGACGTGGGCGGGCTGACACAACGCCCTCCGAGGCCGCTGCAGCAACACGTCGCATCCCCACCCGTTCCGCGCTCACGATGTCATGCTGCACCAGGCTGACACCTAGCTTTGTTGCAACCTGGGTAACGATGTGTATCGGGTTTTCACCCTTTTCTTCAGGGAAATTAGTGATTTCCAGGTCATTGATGAGCAATTCCTGGTCCCTCTCATTTAAGTCGCATCTAAGCTTTTCGACAATGTCACTCATGGGGGAGTCTGCAACCGACGGCAGAGCCGCTAATCGTTTCTCCATCTCTTCAATCCTACTATCTATGTTGTCCATTCGTTCATGACATGCCTTTATAGATGCTCGTACGTCAATCAGTTCAGCGCGAAACTCTTGAACCTCGCCACGAACAGCACGCAATTCGTCCTTAATAATTTTCAATTCGGCTATAATTTCACTATTTAAATCCTGTTTTGTCTCCGCGGTAGAGTCATCCAAAATGCTCGTATCCATAGCGACACTTTCCACTGGGGCAACACTATGCGATACAAAATGGGCGGGCCCTCTAACAGGTGTGTCAGGCTTATTATTTCGCACCACATTTTTCTTACATTCCGGACACTGCCAGGAGGAGGCCACACTACCAGTCACAGGTAAAGCCACACAAGCTCGATGATATGTGTTGTGGCAGTTATTACATTTAACGGCGTCCGATGTAGTTAAAAATCTACCACATCCTCCGCACTTAGCCATTTCGTTTCTACTTTTTTAAAATAAAACGTATGGTTTAATTTAAATGAAGTACGTGTTTATTACTTAATCTATGGTATAATTGTAAATGAACTATAAATGGCAACACTGTCAATACGCTTGACACTTTAGAAAACGAAAATAAATGTTAATGATATTGAGGGTAGCACTAAAATTTTACCAGTTTTTACTTTTGTTTTGAATCCGTTTTATTCACTTCAGGCACTGTTTTATGCTCGGATAACGATGTACAGATTGAGTCACAACTAATATTCTTGAAAAATCTACTCTTCAATTAGTTCAGGGTAACTTAACTTGAAAAAAATTAAAATAAGCAAGCAGCACCACAACCAGTCAAGACACCCAAAGGCAAAAACCAAAAGTCTAGTATTTAAAAGTCAGTTTGTCATTCATCACTTAGTAACTGAACAACTCGACCGATTGTCATAAAATATGATATTGGTACTGTAGTACATTATGTTCACGTACTGGCCACTAATAATTTTATAAATACTGGCCGGTAATAACCTGTTCTATTTTACTAATTTATATTCTTTCAATGAATAAATTACTGTTTAACCAACTTGCTTGCATATCACTACATAATACGTACTATTATATAGTAATATTTAGGATGGATAAAGACATATGCTATTTCTCAATCGACTCCAAAAAACAGGAACATCTCAATTCGGTTGCAATCCGAAAAAAAAAATTGTTTATTTTCGGTTCGGTTCGGTTCGGTTATGTCGATTACATTAGAACTTCGTCATTTAAAAACCAATTATTTATATGAAAGAATATACTTTCAGATTGGTTCCATAGTCATTTCATCAAAAACGGTTAAGTGGTTTGGCTTTTAAATTAATATGTGTAACTGGTTTAGCCACTATGATGATGCTGTTTTTGTTTCTTTCTAAAACAAAATCATCATCTCAGGCATTACTGTCCACTGCTGGACATAGGCCTTCCCCATAGACTGCCATAAGGAACGGTCCTGAGCCACCTGCATGCACTGACTCCCTGCAATGCATTTGAGGACGTCACTCTATCTAATCATCCTACATTGCATTTGCGCGTACGGGGTTGCCACTCAAGAAACATTTTTCCCCATTAATTGCCGGTTCTTCGAGCTATGTGACCAGCTTATTGCCACTTCAGCTTGCTTATCCTTTGGGCTATGTCGGTTAATTTGGTTCTTTTGCAAAACAAAATGTTCAGTTGTTATTCCGGTCTATCAATGTATTCGTCGCGGATAGTAACATAAAAACTACTGTGGATACATCAATATGTTTTGCAAATCCTAATTATTTTAGTTCTCCACCAAAATATTTCCAACTATCCGCGTCTGAAAGATTTCCCCAAAATTAATTAACGAACCCCAAAATGAAGTTGAAAAATTGATTAAAGCTCGCCGAGACCGCATCGCTACGGAGTTAGTTCGTAGGTACCTACGCGGAAACGTCAAAGTTTCGCGAACGGGGCTGGGGCGAGTTGGGGTGGGGCCGGGGGACAGAAAAGGGGGCAAAAATGAACCACGGTGAAGACGGATCGGCGAAGTTTAAATTTGGAACTAGACGAGTTGGCGGGATTCTTTCTTCTGTTCCAACTTTCTATATGGCGTCGTTATTAAATTATAATCCTACAAAATGTATCGTACATATGTTTGGATTTATTATACAGTGGCGCTGAAACGGCTGAAGGGATTTGAACAAAATTTGTTACATGAATAGATCATATCCTAGACTAAGATACAGGATATTATTTATCAGACAAATTCGATGATCTTAGAAAGAATATGAGAAATATTTATCACTTAAAACATTAAACGTAGCGTGAAGAAACAGTCAGTCGGCATAGTGCGGTCAACCGTTAAGAGTAAATAATTCTCTATTCTATTGATCGTATTTATGAACTATATTGTCTCTGAGTTTATTAAGGATGGTGTGATCACAGGTCGTGAAATAATAATAATAATAAAAAAAACATAAACTTAGCAATAGAAAATAGTCAGGGTCGGTAATATGTGTGACGTCCCTGGTATTACAGGCGTCCATAGATTACGGTAATTATTTACCATCAGACGGTCCGTAAGCTTTGCCACCATAGTGGTAAATATTTAGGTGTAATTATCTAACAAAATGATTACAATGGATTGAAGAGCGGTAGATTGTGATTTGACTTCCTAAATGAAATAAATTGTTATTAAATAATGTAATTATATTAATAACAGGAAATAAAATATAATAAAATCATAGAAATAAAATTTAATGATTTATTTACCATAGCTATGTTGCCAGTTATTAATTTTCTTATAGTAAGTAAAATATAGAGTAGGCGTACAGAGGGCGAATTGAAATCTCTTAATTTTAATTTCCCGCGCGATTGACACTGGCTGCATGTAATCCGAACGCCATCTTGTACTCGTTCCAAATTCAAAATGAAGATTGCCATATCTGCATAACGTCAGTTGCACTTGCACTGCAGACAAGTTCGTCATTGTGTGCTCGAGGAAGGAATTGATATTTCGAACTTTCCAGAATTTTGAATTCAAACTGACGTTCTAGATATTTCTATTTGCTCTTTTAAGTTAATAGCTTACTAATCCTGACTTATCAATGTTCTGAATATGAAAGCGAATTTGAACTTTTGCTCTTGGTACGTAGTGATTATTCTTGGTCAGCAGCTTAATTGATTATTTTAAAGGCAGGGATAGTGTACTCTTTTGTCTCGGTCAATCAATCCTCACTAATATGATGAAAAAAGAACTTTCTCCTTTTTTAGAGCCGGTTGGAGATATGAAAAATCTAATTATTATTTAAAAAAAAACTGAAAAAAGACGGCCTTTTGACCTTTGTACCTATTTCAGATTAAATTGAATTTATAGTTATTTTTTTTTTTGTAATAGAATCTATTCTACCGCTAACAATATTAGGTAGGCCTCTACACGGTTTTATCGTAGCTCTCTTGTTTTTTTTTTTTTTTTTTTTTTTTACAACACAGGGGGCAAACGAGCATACGGCTCACCTGATGGTAAGTGACTACCGCCGCCCATGATCACCCACAACACCAGCGGCATTGCAGGTGTGCTGCCGGCCTTTTAAAAAGGAATATACTCTTTTCTTGAAGGTTATGTTGTCGTATCGGTTCGGAAATACTGCTGCTGGAAGTTGATTCCAAAGAATGGTTGTGCGTGGAAGAAAGTGCCTTGAAAAACGCACGGTGGAAGACCGCCACTCGTCCAGATGATTGGGATGAAACTTTAGTTTGTGGCGGGTTGTACGGTGGTGAAAATCAGCAGCAGGTATCAATCCGAACAATTCCTCAGAACACTCCCCATGATAAATTCGGTAGAAGATGCACAGAGATGCAACATCTCTGCGCAGCCTTAGTGGATCAAGTCGGACAGTAAGGCGTTGACTATCGATAATTCGAGCCGCCCGACTCTGAATGCGGTCTAACGGAAGGAGCTGGTACTGTGGCGCTCCTGCCCACAGGTGAGAACAGTATTCCATATGCGGCCTGACTTGGGCTTTATATAATTTCAGGCGGTGTTCTGGCATGAAATATCGTCTCACCCTATTGAGCACTCCTAACTTCTTGGAAGCTATCTTAGCCTTCTCCTCCAGATGACCGCAAAACTGGACGTCGCAAGATATATCAACGCCCAGAATTCCTAGACTCGACTTTTTATCAAGGGAAGTGCCCTGAAAGTGAGGAGATACGACAAACGGCGTCTTTTTTGCGGTAAACGCGCAGACTTGTGTCTTTTTGGGGTTAAATTGGACAAGATTTTGTTCACCCAGATCGAAACTTGATGGAGTGAAGTTTCGATTTCAGACACAAGTCTATTCCGGCACTCATCGGTATGTGCCCGCGAGATCCTTGCATGACCGGTATATAATGTATCTCCTGTACTGTCGTCTGCATAGCAATGAATATTACTTATCTGTAACATATCATTGATATGCAGAAGAAACAGAGTCGGAGATAGTACACAGCCTTGCGGGACACCAGCATTCAAAGGTTTTAAATCAGAGCATGCTCCGTCGACTACGACCTTAATGCTACGTTCCTTGAGAAAACTGGCGACCCAAATGCACAGTCTCGCAGGCAACCCAAATGAAGGTAGCTTTGAAAGCAGCGCTCTATGCCACACCCGATCAAAGGCCTTCGCGATATCCAGACTAACTGCTAAGGCCTCTCCCTTACTCTCGATAGCCACTGCCCATCGGTGTGTTAAGTAAGCTAAAAGATCACCGGCCGAACGTCCCTGTCGAAAGCCGTACTGGCGATCACAGATCAGCTGGTGTTCTTCTAGGTATCGTATATTAGGTAATTAAATCTGTAGGTTAAGTCGTAGTAGAATCGTAGGTAGTCCGAGATTTATAATATATTTTGTTTAAACAAATAATTATTGTTACGTTATATTTTATACATTCACCCATCTACTAAAGCAAGTTATGACAACACCTACCTTCAAACAGGTATTTTCGAAGTTGAGTACTTCAAACAAGTACAACACACACTAAGGGAAAACTCTTGAAACAAAGGAAGGTAATTGAAAATTCTATCAAAACTTCCCCTGAACTGTGTACGGCGAAACTTAAAGCCAGTGTTGTCATATTAAACACGGACTGCAAGTTTTGTTGTCAGATTTATTTTTATTGTAAACTAACGTTTACCCGCGGCTTTGTACGCGTGATAGGGTTATATTTACTGACCGTTATAACAAGTGGCCTATATCTTTCTTCACTCCATGTATGTAGTATTTGTATAGGAAATTTCGTAGTGATTGGTTTAGGTGGTAGGACGATTAAAGATAACAAAGAAATAAACAAACAAACTCACTTTCATATTTATAATGTTATATTTCTTTTTTATACAACTATGGTAAACGAATATATATATATTATATATATATATATATATATATATATATATATATATATATATATATATATATATATTCGTTTACCATGAGACGGGTCGTATGCTTGTTT